AGAGAGAGAGAGAGAGAGAGAGAGAGAGAGAGAGAGAGAGAGAGAGAGAGAGAGAGAGATGCACAACAAGTGGGGCAAGTAGGAGATGGCCTGTGTGACCTATTCACTGATGTTGCTGGGTGTTCCCATGCAGCGGCGGATTGCTGTCTGTGCTCGTCAATAAATCGGCGCCGTTGTTGTTTACGGTTGTTAATGGTCAGTTGTGAGAGGTCATGCTCAGTGTCTATTAGCTCCAAAGGCCAGTAGCACAAGTTTTGGATTGCTTCTCAGTTTGCATCTTGTGATGAGCATATATCGTGCCGCGTTTTGAAATTCTGTAAGGCAAAAAATTGATCCTGTAATGGTTGGTAGGTGGAGCATTGGCGGAATGAAACCGTTCCCGTACTCCCAAGTACGGTAGTGGAACATTTGTGGATGTTCATCTTAGAAGATTAGCTCTTGCCAGTTCTCACCACAATTAATGTAGGCGAGGGGTCCGTAAATGTTTTTTTAACTTTTTTTCTTTACCTGTATGGAAGTACATGCTGGCCAGTGGCCACCGTCAACATGCAACATGCTAGATTGCATCACCGTCAACATGCAACATGCTGGCTTGCATGGAAAGAGCAGCTTTACTAAGGTAGGAATGGACAAAGAAGGGAAGCAGATTGAGTGCAGGACTGGGCAAAGGAAGGAAGCAGGCAAAGGAAGGAAGCAGAGTGCGCTTTAGTCCTTTCTTTTCCTATTGAATTGCAGGATTTTGTAGTTAACCCAGTCAGATCGTATTCAGAAAACCTTGTGTGTTGCTCTTGCTTCCTTTTGTTATTCCTCTCAACGGTTCATAAGAAGAAACTAACCTCCTCCTCCTCCTCCTCCTCCTCCTCCTCCTCCTCCTCCTTCTTCTTCTTCTTCTTCTTCTCCCTTCTTCTCCTTCTTCAGCTTCTTCCTTACTAATTCTTCTCCTCCTACTCCTGCTCATCTTCCCCCTCCTCCTCCTCCCCCTCCTCCTCCTTTTGTCTTTTGTGTTCTTTTTCCTACTTTTGTTTCCTCTTCTTCTTCCTGCTTTTGTTTTTTTTGTTTCTTTTCTTTGTTCCCTTCTTCTTCATCGTCTTCTTTGTCCTCTTCTTCCTTCCTACTTTCTTTCTTTCTCTCTGACTTTCTACATTTCTGCCTCTCTTTCTTTCTTCCCTTGTTCTCTTTCTATCATTCTTCTTTTATTCTTTCGTTCTTTCTTTCTTTCTTTCTTTCTTTCTTTCTTTTGTTCTTTCTTTCTTTCTTTCTTTATTTATTTATTTATTTATTTATTTTCTTTCTTTAGCTTCTTCCTCCGTCTTCTTCTTCTTCTTCTTCTTCTTCTTCTTCTTCTTCTCCTCCTCCTCCTCCTCCTCCTCCTCCTCCTCCTCCTCCTCCTCCTTTTGTGTTTTTTTTCCTACTTTTGTTTTCTCTTTTTTTCCTTCTTTTGTTCTCTTTTTTTTCTAATTTTGTTTTCTCTTTTTTTCCTACTCTTGTTTCCTTTTGCTTTCTCTTCTTTTTTCCCTTCCTCTTCTTTGTTGTCTTCCTCGGTCCTCTTCTACCCTCTCTCTCTCTCTCTCTCTCTCTCTCTCTCTCTCTCTCTCTCTCTCTCTCTCTCTCTCT